CACACACACACACACACACACACACACACACACACACACACACACATATATATAATCAATTTATGTATGTATTTATTTCTCTTTTTTTGGTACTGGGGATTGAACCCAGAGTTTTCCTATGGAGCTACATCCCCAGGCTTTTTAAATTTTTAAAAAATTTTCAGACAGGTTCTTGCTAAATTGCCCAGGTGGAGCTCGAATTTGTCAATCTTCCTGCTTCAGCCTCCCAGAGTGCTGGGATGACAGGCATGCACCACACCACCTGGTTTACACCTCATCTTCAAAATTAGGATCATCGTTGGTCACACCAATACATAGCTACCTGTCACCTCAGCTGTGTAGGAAGCTTAGGCAGGAGGATCATGATTTTAGAGCTAGCCTATGTAACTTACCAATACCTTGTCTCAAAATAACACAAAGATCATAGTATCATTTCTGTGATTTTATTTATTTATTTTTGGTACCAGGAAATGAACTCAGGACAGGCAGGTGTGGTGTCACTGGGCTAAATCCCCAGCCCCTTCTGTGATTTTATGTAATTTATTTATTTGTTCTTTTTTTTTGAATCACGGTCTTGCTATGTAGTTCAGGCTGGCCTTGAGCTCATTATGTAGCCCAAGTGGCAATCCTCCTGCATCAGCCTCCTGAATAATCCCAGGATTACCAAAGGCCTGGGAAACCAGACTCAAATGTCACATCCATGCTGGGGGCCTGAGTGTCCCGCAAAGCCTTTTGTGGGGAGGAAATGTCAGAGCTGGGTGGAGTGATGCACCCTGTGGCCCCAGCACTCTGGGAGGCTGAGGCAGGAGGATCACAAATTTGAGTTCAGCAATTTAGTGACTCAATGAGAACCTGTTCCAAAATAAAAACCAAAAAAAGGCTAGGGATGTAACTCAGTGTAAAGGTCCTGGGTTCAAACTCCAGCTGGGGAGGAAAAAAAAAAAAAGCACAACTAAAGGTTTAAGCATGATAAGCAGGGATTGGATTTTAGACCTTTGTGACACACAGTTTATCTTCACAAGTTAATCTTTTCCAGAGGCAAAAGTGACAAGGTCTCACTCTGTAGTCCAGGCTGGTCTTGAAGTCACTACATAATCCAGGCTGTCCTTGAACTTGAAACTCTCCTCCTGTTTTGGCCTCCTGATTGCTGGGATAATAGGCATACACCACCATACCCGGCTTCCTCAGGTCTTATGTGCCCTTTAACTCTGGGAGAAAGAAGACACCAATATTCTCTTCCTCCTCAGGGTGTAACTAACTTTATTTCACCTCATCTACAGTTGAAGGAAGTCCCTCCCCAGCGCCATAGCCAGGAAGATCCTGGTCTGAGGGTCAGGAACCAACTGCAATAAAACACTGCAACCCCAGGAAGTCAATAGGTCAATCAGCCAAACAAAAAGCGCACAACTCCGCACCAGGAATGCTGACTTTGGCCAGGCCTGCAACAAGGACAGTCCCGGAGAAGACCTGTGGTAACCTTCGGCACGTTCCCCTACCTGTGCTGGGTGGAAGCCTTTCCGGCTCATCCCAGCCAGCAGCATCTGTCCCCTTGGCTGCCAGGTTTACCAGGGTGCTCCTTGTTGTCTGGAAGCTCATGGTCAGAGGATGGGTTTTCTCATTTCATAACAGCATTCAGTGCTGACACAAACCTTTACTATGGTTTGAATCTGCAGCGTTCCCCAAAAGCCTGTGTGTTACAGCTTGGCTCTCAGCTGGGCGTGGTGACACTCACCTGTCATCCCAGGACTCTGGGAGGCCGAGACAGGAGGATCACAACTGCAAACCCAGCTGAAGCAATTTAGCTAGATCCTGTCTCAAAATAAAAAAACTAAAAATGGCTGGGATATAGCTCCGTGCCAAGGCCCGACAACCCATGGCAAAAAAAAAAAAAAGAAAAAAAAAAGTCCCCATGCCACTTCCAAATCTGTGTGGCAGCAACAAATCACACCCACAGGGGGTGGACATATTCACGGGACTTGCATATAAAATGTGCCTGTCCTGGCCAGCAGTCAAGAGGGCCCCTTCCCCTAATGGACAGATGGGGAAACTGAGGCCTGGGGTGGGCCCAAGCTCCAGACCGTATTCACCTCCAATGACACCTAGCCCAACGGATTCATCTGGGGACAGGATTCTTGAAGTGACTGCAGACAGCTGTTGCGCCCTTTCCCCTCAGTTTCTCCTTTCTGTTGGTTTCCCAAAGGGCCTCTACATAAACTTGCAACTCACACAGCTGGGTCACATAAGGGCTCGACCCTTGCCCCCACCGGGTCACGTGGGTGGCGGTAGGGAGAGGGGCGGAGCCAGGGCCAGCGCGTCGCCTCTGGGAATTGTAGTTCCTATTCTACCTGGGGGCTCTTATGGGCCCCGCCCCCAGTACTACGCTCCCGTCAGACTCTGCGGCGCAGGCGGGACGGGCCGGTTGCTAGGTCTTGGTGAAGCGCAACGCTCACGCGAATCTCCCTTGGTAAGCAGTCTCCCGGAAACTCAGGTTTTCGCAGCCCAGCCTTCCATAGACTGGGAACAGGTCTGGCGACGGGGGTCAGAGCGGTAACTGGCGACCCTGGGGCCTTTTTAGGGGCTGACGGGTTTGGGTTGGTCAGGTTTGCGGGCGAGCGTGTGGGCATGCGCGTGCGCGGGTCGCGCGCTGGCAGCTTTAATGCGCGTGCGCTTGGAGCCTTAGGACCCTCTCACGGCCGAGTTGCCTGACTACGCGAGCGTGCCCTCTGGAAACCTTGTGCACCCCAGCTGTTTCCGGTGTGCACTGTCGCTGGGTCGTCGCAGCCAGTCCCCTTCGGGCTGCTCTCCGTGATGTTCTTCTCACCATGTCGACATTTCTTTTAGGAGGTCCTCCAAATTCTTTGATAAGTCTATAAATTGATCATCATTGCTGATAGTTAAAATGTGAATTTTCAAGGACTTTTTTTGGGGGGAGTAGTCCTAGGTATTGATTTCAGGGCCTTGCTCATGCTGGGCAAGCGCTCAGCCATTTAGGTACATCTTCAATCCTTTTAATTTTGAAGAGTAGTGAGGCACTAAATTGTTCAGGCTGGCCTCGAACTTGTGATACTCCAGCCTCAACCTTCCAAGTACCTTGGGTTAAATTCGGGCTACAGGTATGTGTCACCACATGCAGTCCTTTGAGGCTTTTTCTTTTCTTTTCTTTTTGGTACCAGGGTTCGGACTCCAGACCTTATGCTTGCAAAGCAGGAGGTGGAACCACTGAGCTAAATACCCAGCCTCGAGGCCTTTTCATAAGGTGGCTTTGGATCTCACCCACTCACAGCACACCCCAGGGGCTCTAGGTTCTCCATGTGTGTAGAAGGCCCAGTTGTATGGAGGCCAGATTGAGCAAATGAGAACCGAGTGCTCCATCAAATTCGAATTCTGGCCGGCCATGGTGGTGCACATCTGTAATCCCAGAAGTCTGAGAGGCTGAGGTAGAAGATTTGAGAGTTTGAGACCAGCCTGGATATGTAGGGAGACCCAGTCTCAACATAGAAAATGAAAAGATGAACTGGGGATGTAGCTCAGTGGCACCACACCTGCCTGGCAAGAGCAAGGTCCTGAGTTCAATTGCCAGTACCAAAAAATAAAATGAAAAGGGGATGTAGCTTAATGTGAAGGTGGCCCTGGGTTTCATCTCAGTACCACACACACACACACACACACACACACACACACACACACAAATGTTCTGTTTAAACAACCAATTTTTTTAAAAAATGTTTTCAAACAGTGTTTTTCTACATAGTCCAGGCTGGCCTTGAACCTCCCTTGTATTCCAGGGTGTCCTTGAACTCAGGATCATCTCTGTCACAACCTCCCCAGGGCTGGGATTACAGGTTTGTGTCACCAGGCCCAGCTCAACAGTTCATGCATAAGTATAATTTGAAGATTCCCTGGGTTATATTTCTACTATAATAATTACTGTTTATTTGAAATTCGTGTTCATCAGAGCTTCCTATGTTTTATATGGTGACTGTCCTCCCTGGGAGGGTTCATTAAAAATGCAAATGTGGCTGGGCGTGGTGGGGGGGAGGCTGAGGCAGGAGGATCGCTGTGAGTTGGAGACCAGCTACACGCTGAGTTCCAGGTCAGTCTCAACTACCTAGTGAGACCCTGTCTCAAAAAAACAAAAAAACCAAAAAAAAAAAAAAAGCAAATGCTGGGCCCCCTTCCATTCTGTGTGGGTGAACCCTGGAAACTGCGTTTGACACAAGCATCCACTGAGAGCAAGGGTGTGTCCTGAGACTGGGCAATGGTCATTCCTTCTGTCTGGAGTTCCCTCTCCTGCTCCCTTCCAGGCACACTAGTAGGGTTCATTTATGGAGCATCACAGAATCCAAAGACAATGTGTGCCCTTACAGCTTTGTCATTTAATGTTCCCGATCCTCTGCCTGACAGGATCAAACTCCCACTGCACGGTGGTGCAGATGAAGTGGGGAAGGGTTAAGACTAGTGCTTGAGGCCTCCCACCAGGGAATGGCTGAGCTGGGCCAAGATCTTGTGCATAGGACCAGTCTGCGGGTGCTGCCTGGCTAGATACATTCGGGACTCGGCTGTGAGTCTTTGCTTTGGCTTCTTGTCTATATGGTGAGACCAGGCCTCCCAGCCCAGCTTTAGCTGCACTGTCAGCATGAAGGCTCAGCCACTCCAAATTAATGCCATTTCTCATCCCTTCCCAGTCCCAGACTGGGCTGCAGCAATAGTCCACTTCTGCTGAACCCTAGGCCTATAGCCCTTTACTGCTCTAGATTTGGGGTAGAGCGCCCCCCCCACAGGGCCAGATGTTGTAGTCTGCTGAAGGAAGTGGCTATCAGGGTTCTTGCTCCCTGATCCAGCCTATGGAGTGTGGCACTTGGAGAGGGAACTGGTTTTGCCTTGAGCCCATCCCACCCACTGGGACAGTCATCACTTAATTCTTTTATTTATTTATTTACTTATTTACTATGGTACTGGAGATTGAACTGGGGTCCTTGCTCTTGCAAGGTAGGCGGCTGAACCGCTGAGCTAAATCCCTGGCCCTATTTTTTTATTTTTATTGGTACCAGGAATCAAATGTAGGGCCTAAAGTTTGCCAGGCAGTTGCTGCACTGCTAAGCTACATGCCCAGTCCCCATCATCCAATCCTAAGGGGCCCCTACAACAGTAAATAGAAAAGGGCCCTTCTGTCCCCATCGTCTTTGCCACTGTCCTTTGATCTTTTTTTTTTTCTCCTGGTATTGGGGATCAAACTCAGGACCTTGTCCTTGCCAGACAGGCATAGCCCTCCCCTGACTTTTTTTGTTTGTTTCTTTGTTTGGTTTTTGAGACAGGTTCTTGCTTTGTAATTTAGGCTGGACCTCAACTCACTATGTAACCCAGGCTGGCCTTGAACTCTAGGCAATCCTGTCTCTACCTCCAGAGTGCTGGGATTACAGGCATGCACCATGCCTGGCCAATTAGATTACCATCTTTTTTTTTTTTTTTTTTTTTGTACCAGGGATCAAACTCTGGTCCTTGCGCTTGCAAGGCAGTACCTCCTTTTTGGGGGGCGGGTACTGGGGATCAAACTCGGAACCTAGTGCTTGTGAGGCAGGCAGTGGCAGAACCACTGAACTTAATCCCCAATGCATTCCCTGACTTTTTAATGTCCTCCCAGGCTGCCATGTCTTTATGGCAGCATCATGTGGTGTCCCTTATATTGTTTGTCTGCAGACAGAGGTTGTCTTGAAGGGACAGATGAGGCTGTGTTTGTGTTTGGTGTAGGGACAGTGGAACTTTTGTTACCCTGGCAGCTTGAGTGGGCACAGAATTGCTGTGTGTGTGACCAGGGATCCAGAAAGCCACCAAGGAGTCTCCTGTGGGTGCTGCCTGACCTGAATCCTTGGGCAGCAACTGCAACAGTGGCACAGGCCCTCGAGGTGCACTAGGTGCCACATGTGTTCCAGTCTCATCCCTGCCACCAACACTTCCTGCTCTCTGTGCTCACAGCAGTCCAAGTGCAGGCTGAGATGACCAGGCCTCAGGGCTCAGTGGGCCCTCTGTGGTGATAGGTGGAGGTGTGAACCCATCACCCAGGTCCCCCGGCTGCCAAGGTGTGAGCCAGGTGGTACTTCATTAGGAGTGAAGCCCAGAACTGTGAAATTAACACACCTTTCTCCCTGGCGGGGCTGAAAGGTTGGTCACACCAGACATCAGCAAGGGTGGTGGGGTATGGGGTCCCAGTGTGTTTGAGACCATCCAGAATCACTTTAATATCATTGGTAGATAACTGCTGATGAAGTCTAAGACAGCCTTGACTGATAGAAACATAGGATCTGCAATGTTGGTTTATTTTCTTTTTGATGTTGAGGGTAGGAACCCAGTGCCTCCTGTATGCTAGGTAACTGCTGCTACTGAGCCGCAGCCCCACTTCCCTTTTTATCTTGATAAATTGCCCAGGCTGGCCTTGAACTCAAAATTTAGCTTGGCTTCCTAAGTAGCTGGGATACAGGTGTGTGCCACCATGCCTGTTGTGTGTTAAACTTTTTTTATAAGCTACATTTTAAAAAACAAAAAGGGTTGAAATTACTAAAGTTTTTTTTTTTTCTTTACTAGGTATGGAGCTGAAGTCTTTCATACTAAGCTACATCTCCAGGCTTTATTATTTATTTTTTTCCCTATTATTTTGCAAAAGGGTCTGGCTATGTTGCCCAAAATGGACTTGAATGTGGGATCCTCCTGCCCTTTCAAAATTTTTGTTTTCAGGGCCGGGGATATAGCTCAGTGGCGCTACACATGCCTGGCAAATGCAAGATCCTGAGTTCTATTCCCGGTGCTGGAAAAAAAAAGTTGTTTTTAGATCGAGCCATACTAAGTCACTGAATAGCTCAGACTATCCACAGACCTGTAATCCTCTTGCCTTAGTCTCCCAGACTGCTGGGATCCTGTGTGTGTCACCATGCACAGTGCTAGTTGCTTTCTGAGTGCACAATCTCAGGCCTGTGGGGTGGCAAGTGTTGCTGTACAGCCGGCCCCAGCTCATGGCCACCCTTCCTCAGGTCCACATCACCAGGGTCATCTGCCCTGCTGGACTGTTTTGGGGGCTTATATCAGGCTCGGGGTGTACTTGGTGGTGGCTGCCCCTACAAGGGATGTGGTCCAATGGGCATCCTATGGTGGCAAGCCAGCTGGGACACTAGAAATCCAAGAACCACAAGTGCCATTCTCTAGTTCTCTGTGTGTGTATGGCCTCCTGTTGGGGTTCCTGTCCCCCCCGCTTTGCAATCTCTGTCTCTAGCCTCCCCTGCTGCTGTTGTCTGATTCCTGAGAACAGCAGAGACTGAGGGTCTAAAGGAGAAGAATCAGGGCACTGGCCTGCATACCGTGCTCCCAGCAGAGCGCGCACAGCCTCATTCTGTACTGTGGGGTGGTGATGGTACCATTGATGGCTTTATGAGAACCTGGCATTAGCCCTGCATGCTGCAAGCCTTGGAGATGGCCTGGGCAGGGCTGTGTGCAGTGGGTAGGGAGGTTCCCAGCCCTGTCCCAGATGCTCTTCTCCCTCCTAGGGCACCCTCAGACCTGGCCCACCCATCTGGCTTCTACCACAAATGATTAGGAGGTGGGGCAGCCTGGGGCTGTGGGGACCTCGTCAGCCTCCCACAGTGCTGGGATTACAGGGGCCACCTCAGGCATGTGCCACCATGCTTAGGCCTGTGACTGGAGGGCTGCATCAGGGCGGATGTTCTGCGGCCTTTTCTGTGTCCAGCTCTTTGCAAACACAGCCGTGCGCTGTTTCAGGAGGTAGCCCCATACCCCAGACCTCTTGCGTTCACTTCTGTCACCGTGCAACAGTTTGAAGCAGGTGTAGCAGCTGACAGTGGTGCCCATCTTGGGCCCACAGTGCTGTAGTCAGGAGCCTGGGTGCAGGGTAGCAGGTCCTCTGCACAGTCTTCCTGGATGGAGTCCAGGGGTCAGTCTGTATCTCGTCTGGAGAATGCCCGGGAAGGGGTCCACTTGTAACACTACCGGCCACTTCAGTTCCTCAGGCTGTGGTACTGAGGTCTCTAAAGCCTCTCTGGCCATTGGCTAGCGTTGCCACTTTCAGTTCCTGGCCACAAGGGCTGAGGCCCTGCTCATGTTTAGACTTCTACTAGGCTCAGAGGGCCGATGAGTGTTGCCTGGGGCAGGTGTGTGACATGAGGTTTGCCTGGGAAGTGATGAAAACGTTCTAGAATTTAATAGTAGCAGTAGTTGCACATCTTCATACACATCAAGAACCACTGGATTGTACGTTTAAAAACTGTTCTTCGGGAGTGTGGCTCAGTAGTAAGCACTCACCTAGCATGCACAAAGCCCTGGGTTTCATCCCGAGCACTCAGAACAAGAAATGACATTCTTCCTGGTATGAGCTACATCTCAGCTTTCTTAAAGAGCCTCTGCAAACCAGGAGTTAAGTAGGACATGGCAAGAACAGGTCCAGTGATGCGCTGTACCTCGATTTTCGGCTGGGCTCTGGATCTGGCCTGCTCTGCCCCCCAGCTTCCTGGGATGAACTCCACCGCCTCATGGGGACCTACTGCCACACTGGACAGTATTCTGCTCCCATCGATCTCTGTCTTCCACAGTCCCAGCCCCACTGAGGATGAGGATGGAGCCTACCCCGGGCCTCATGGAGCAGCACGGTCCTGAGGAGGTGGCTGGGAGTACAGAGCAAGAGCCAGCACCGTGGCAAGCCTTCCCCGTGCTGTCTGAGCAACAGTCTGGGGATGTGGAGCTGGTGTTGGCCTATGCCGCACCCGTCCTTGACAAGCGCCAGACCTCCCGACTCCTCCGAGAGGTGGCGGCTGCTCACCCCCTGCCTGCACAGCCCCACCTCAAGCGGGTGCGGCCCCGCCCTGATGCCCACGGTGCCCCCGAGCTAGAGCTGCTTCTGTGCCTGGCTGGCCCGGCCCCAGGTCCACGCTCACTGGCTGAGCTGCTTCCTGAGCCCTCTGTGGACTCCCACGGCCTGGGGCCACCCTTTCTGGTGCCTGTGCCTGCCCGACCGCCCCTCACCAGGGGCCAGTTCGAGGAGGCCCGGGTACACTGGCCCACGTCCTTCCATGAGGACAAGCGGGTGACAAGTGCGCTGGCTGGGCAGCTCTTCTCAGCCCAGGAACGAGCCGCCATGCAGGGCCACATGGAGCGGGCAGTGTGGGTGGCCCAGCGGGCAGCAGCCCAGGGACTCCGGGCTGTGGGGGCTGTGGTGGTGGACCCCACCTTGGACCATGTGCTGGCCACAGGCCATGACTGCCGTAGCGCCAGCAGCCCACTGTTGCATGCTGTCATGGTGTGCATCGACCTCGTGGCTCAGGGCCAGGGTCGTGGTGCCCATGATCTCCGAGCCCACCCGGCTTGTGCCTTTTTTCCGGCCCCTGCCGCCCAGGCCCGAGCAGGCATTGTGCGCAAGCTGGAGGAAGATGAGGATGAAGACGGCCAGCCCTATGTGTGCACCGGCTATGACCTGTACGTTACCCGAGAGCCCTGTGCCATGTGTGCTATGGCCCTTGTGCACTCCCGCATTCGGCGGGTCTTCTATGGGGCCACCTCACCCGATGGTGCACTGGGCACTCGCTTCCGTGTCCATGCCCGGTCTGACCTCAATCACCGCTTCCAGGTGTTCCGTGGTGTCCTCGAGAAACAGTGTCACCTGCTGGACCCTGACACGTAGGCTTGGTGGCCCCGCTGCTTCCAGAACTTTCTCTGCTGCTGGCCTGATGTTCCCCTGGAGGTGCCATCCTTTCAGTCCGTTTCAAGGACCCTTGCCGCCTACCTGGGTCGCCAATCTGAACAAATGCAGCAAGGGTCCCACCCTGACCCCAGGGCTGGTTCCCTGCCTCTGAGTCCTCTACAGTGTTTCAGGAAGAAGCTCTGACATGTGACAATAAAAGTGTTCTTAGCTCAACCCAAGCTGCTGTCTGTTGAGAGGCGCCGGACTCCTGGCTGGGGTCACGGGCTGGGCAGGTCTGAATGTCAGGCTTGTGATGGGGAAGGCATCTGCCGGACTGAGTGGTCTGGCGCTCAGGAGTGTTCAAGGGGACAGGAACATCTGGATGCTGGCAGTCTGGGATCAGCTGACCTAAAGGCTCCTTTGGGGTCATCCTATTTACCATCTTTCATGGGTGGCAAGAAGGGGCCACCATGAGTGTCATAAGACAGGGCTGGAATTGACAGTGGGGACTCAGAGTAGGGCCTGGTGGTCCCTCTGGCAGATGCCCATTGCTGACCTCACCATGTTGCCGGGCGACTGTGCACCCACCTGACTTAGGCACCAGGCACTGCCATGTAGGTGGGAGAGGCTGTTGCCTGATTCTTTCCTCCAGGCTCAGAGGAAGTGTTGCCTGGTGGCCCCACATCCGGCCTGTGACACCTGCTGAGCCAGCAGCTGAGCTGGGCCAGCTTTTCCAGCAGAAGCTCGAATAGGGCTTTCTGGTCACAGTGGGCCTCCACCGAAGGCCACCCCAGCCCATTGCTGGGTGACGGATCCCCCCGTGGCCAAAGGGTCCCTGATGTCCTGTCTCCTTCTAGGTGGCTGCAGGCTTCAGCCCAGACGCCAGGTCAGCTGAAGCGGAAATGTCTGGTGAGTCCAACGGGAGCTGCCACAGCTATGGGTCTGCTGTGTCTCTGGGTGGTGTCCCCAGGGGGGAGGGATAGCAGCAGTTCTCGTGCGTGTTCTCAGCCTATGACCTGTTGTCATGTGGCCTGTGTCCTGGCCTGCCTTTGCAAGCCTACTGACCAGCTCTGCCTAGCAACATTTTGAGAACCACAGTTTGGCTTACATGTGTTCTTGTCTGCAAAGCTGCATGTCAAAGGTGGCAGAAAGCTGGGAAGAGGGCCATAGATTCGTGTGTATTTCTTGGCCTGGGAATGATGGAGGGTCAAGTAACAAGATGGACTTGGAGAGGGACCCAGGAGACCCATGGGCTACACAGGCTCCTCCACAGCTGTCCTAATGCCTCCTGCCCTCTTATCCTCCCCGCAATCTTCTCACTACTCCTGGACCTACAGGGTTCTCACCCTAGGGCTTTTGCGGTGGCTGTGTCCACGACCTTAAGTCTGCTGGGCTCCCCACCCCAGCACACACCACCCTGGAGCGCCTTGCTGGTCTCTTTCTAGCAGTTTCCATCCTGTAAGTGGTAGTCATAAGGCATGTGTTTGCTGATAACATTAGTTGAATCCTTACTGGAGTGAGGCACCATAATCTAGTGTTGAATCCCAGTAAGAAGGGAAATCTGGACACTGACATATGGGGAAGGCAGAGACAGAGGCTAAAGCGATAGGGCTACAAGCTGAGGGACACCAGTGCCATGGAGGCTGCAAGAAGGACCTCCCTGGAGCTGCAGAGGGAGCTCAGCTGGGCATAGACCTGGGCCTCGGACTTCTGGACTCTATAGCAGAGAGGGTAAATTCCTGAGGTTTTAAGCCATAGGGATTTTGAGTCTGCTTTGGAAGCCTCGTGAGCTGGTAATATTCTACTTGCTGGACATTTTGGGAGTGTGTGTGAATGTTCTACAGTTGTGGTGAGGAATCACTAGAAAATAACAAACAAAAAGAAAAATAAACTCACCACATGCTTAGTGGCTTGAAACAACAAAATTTAAGTTGGGCACAGTGGCCCACACCTTCCATCCCAGCTATTTAGGAGGCTGAGGCAGGAGGATTGAAAATCAAGGCCAGCCTGGGCAACATAGCAAGATCTTGTCTCAAAATTTAAAAATAAATAAGAAAAGGGCTGGGGATGTAACTCAGTGAGCTCAGTGTTACTGCATCTGCCTGGCAAGTGCAAGGTACTGAGTTTTAGCCCTGCTACTGGAAGGAAAAAGAAAGGCTGGTGTAGGGCTGGGGATTTAGCTCAGCGGTTCCAGCGGCTGCTTTGCAAGCACAAGGACCCGAGTACAAAAAAAGAAAAAAGAAAAGAAAGGGTGGTGTAGCTTAATGGTAGAGCGCTTGGCTAGCATGAGAGGCCCTAGGCTTAATCCCTAACAACAAAAACCAAAAAATTTTAGGGGGCTGGGGGATTTAGCTCAATGGTTTGGCTGCCTGCCTCACAAGCACAAGGTCCCAAGTTTGATCCCCAGTACCCCCAAAAAAAGGTCAAAATAAGATTTGGGCTGGGAATTTAGCTTAGTGGTTCGGCTGCCTGCCTCACAAGCACAAGAACCAGAGTTCGATCTCCAGTACCAAAAAAAAAAAATTAAATACTTGCCTTCATAGGATCTGGGATTGAGAAGTCTCAAATGAGTCTCACTGGGCTGAGTCCAGGTGTGGCCAGCAGGGCTGCTCCCGAGGCTCTGGGGAGAACCCAGATCCCCCACCCCTAGAGGTGCCCACAGTCCCCTGCTCTCAGCACCTTCCTCCATCAGGGAGAGCCAGCAGCGGAGTATCTTCCAACTCTCTCTGCCTCTCACCCTCCCACGCCCTCTCCTGGGTGACAGTGGGGCCCAGATGGTCAGGACGGTCCCCCTCTTAGTCCGTCACTTAGTCCAGCTGCAGTGTCCCTTCTGCTATGGGAGGTGACAGATTCTCAGGCTTGGGTGAGGATGGGGACACCCTGTGGCAGCCAGTAGCGGTCCTGTCCTGGGTTTTTTTTCTCTGCAGGGAAGGAGAACAACTTTCCACCGCTGCCTAGGTTCATCCCACTGAAGCCCTGCTTCTACCAAGACTTCTCTGATGAGATCCCCATTGAGCACCAGGTGCTGGTGAAGAGGATCTACCGGCTTTGGATGTGTGAGCCCTGGGCGTGGGGCTGCAGGGGTGGGACATGAGCCCGGGCCCACTGGACCCAGGAAGTGGTCGTCTGGAGCTACCCTGTCATTGTGCACCCCATCTGTCCCGAGGTAGAGAGTCAAGGACAGGGACCCTCAGGAGCCCTCTGTGTATTCTGACCTTATTTCTGGCCCACTGTGGGCAACATCCTGAGCGGGCCGACTGCCTGGCCTCACCCAGCTCCTCCTGGGATCACACAGTGTCCCTAGAGCCCGGGAGGTGACCCTGAGGCCTGGCCAGCATCCTCAGTGGCCCGTACCTTTCAGCACCTGGTTCAGCCTCTTCTCCTTCGCCCCACCAGTTTACTGTGCCACCCTTGGGGTCAACCTTATCGCCTGCCTGGCCTGGTGGATCGGCAGTGGCCAGGGAGCCAACTTTGGCCTGGCCTTCGTCTGGCTGCTGCTCTTTACCCCCTGCAGCTACGTGTGCTGGTTCCGACCTGCCTACAAGGCCTTCCGGTAAGTTGGAGAGAGCCGGCATGGCCTTGGGCTTGTCCCACCTGCCCTGGGAGCTCTGGATGCCTGTGGTGCTGAATGTGCACAGAACCTGGGAGAGCAAGTCACCCCTGCATGTATACTGGTGCTGGTGCCATCTGCCCCATGCACAGGGAGCCAGGCCTGGTCTGCACTGGGTGTGGCTCAGTTATTAGCAGCTGTTCCACTCTGGGTGGTCGCTGACTGCAGCCCATGGATCAGATCCAGCTTCTGCTGGATTTGTGTTTTAGTGGGGCCCCTGTAGTTCTGGGGATTCTTCACACCACCCATAAGTGCTCAGTTGCCCAGGCTAGGCTCAAATTTGTGATCCTCTTGACTCAGCCTCTCCTAGTGCTGGGATGACAGCTGTTTGCCACCACTCTCAGCTTCTGTTTTTTATTTGTACTTTTTTCAGATTTCAGGAACTTAGTTGATTTATTTGTATATTTTTATATATGAACCATGTGTATTTATCAAAGTGGGAGGAGGAAAAAAGGTTGCAAACATTTTCAGAATGAATTTATAAGTAATTTTTGTAAAGGTTATTTAACATAATTTTGTATGTTTTTTTAAAATGTTACTCCAGCTTAGGAGGCTGCCCAAATGAAATGTCAGGTGTTTTGGTTTTTTAGAATGACATTTATTGGTACTTTTCAGATACACATAGTGATAACATTCACCATAGGGAATTTCTGCTAGTACATGATATATCTTGCTTCTTTTTTTTCTCTACCCCCTCTTATATATAAGTTTTGTTTCCATTTCTCCTTTGATTTTCTTTTGTTCCTTATCCCTTCTCTTTCCCTTTCTCTTGTTCCCCTTCTCATTTGAATGTTTTCTTCCTATTTCCCAATGTCTGTTAGACATTTTAGTCCTTATTTCCATTTTCAGTTTCTCACACCAGAGAAACAATGTGATATTTAAACGTGTGTCCAATTTACTCACTTAAGAATATGGTCTCAAGGTCTATCCATTTAGCCAAAAATGTCCCAAGCTTATCTTTCTTTGTGGCAAAGTAGTACTCCATTGTATTAAAAAAAAAAAAAAATTCACCACCTGCCTCCCAAGCTCAAGGTTCTGAGTTGGATCCC